AGAATATGTCGTTTTGGTCCTTGGAAGTTGAATCTGAAGCCAGCATTTGAAAAGTTGACTCACTTTTTTTCTTTCTACCCTAAAAAAAATACAACAAATGTACCACAATAATAGGGTTTTTGAGGTTAGAAACTAAAAGCGTGCAAACTTTTGAACTCAAACTTCGGAATCGGAATAGCGAGCAAAAATTCATAGGGATTGATAGACTCGTCGTTATGTAATGCTTTTACATCGAAAACTAAATTTACAAAATAAATATTAACAAGTTAATATATGAGTGGCTTTGCTGTCTATAAAGTTAACTGAATAAAAAAATATATATTTATAAATTTTAGAAGCAATTAATTTTTAAAATTTTTGAAAAAAAATATTTAATACATACCTAAAACAAATACATATATTAAAAATTGTGTTTATCAAAAACAAAATAAAAAGTAAAAAATTAAATTATTAAAAAATCAAAGGAGCGTTAGACTATGACTTTTTTTAAATTATTTATATCTATTTGGAGAGGATGAGGAATGATGGAAAACCAACAAAAATAACGTTTTTGCCCAAATTTGGAAATAATGTCAATTCACTTTATTTCGCACCAGTATGCGAAATAGTGTTAATTGTCCTTATTTCCATTGATCTTGTTACCTGTCACCCACTAGCTACTCAGGCATTACGTGCTTTGTATTATTTACAACAAAACCTCATAAAAACCGAGTGTGTTTGAATTCTTAAACAAAAACTTTTATCTCATTGGAAAAAATCGGAACGTCCGAAGAACTTTGCACAGTTTTTGACAGCTATTAAATATCGTTGGGAAGTTTAATTTGACGCAATGGTTATGGCTGCTTATTATTCTAACAACCACTCATACATACTTTTTTGTACCGTTAACAGATTCGCCGAATTTTGCAGGAATCATCAGTCATTTTCGATACGAGTTCCATTTTGGGAACGTCCGAACGGGTTCTTTTAATCGCTATGCACTTACTATATAACATTTATGGAAAATATTCTTATTGGTTTCAGAAAGGTATCTCACTCATGACAAAAGCTTGTGTTCACTGAGAACCTACTACAGTTTTTTTTTATGATGGGAAAAGTGTCTCCAAATGGAACGTCCATAACGCAGGAAACACTCATATGTACATATTTAGATATATGTACGAAAAATTTCATGTCAACCGAATTATAACTGCATTCAAAAATTGGTTCTCTCCTCATAGGCATATTTAATTTTAAAAAAGTCCTATGACTACTGTTCATATATGTATGTAAGTTTTGCTTTGTTGTCTAGTTTATTGAATTAAAATTAAAAAAAAAAAAACAGAAATATTCTGAAAAATGAGGTTTTTAGAAAAAAAATTCGTACAGAATTTTTTAAACTCAACAAGAATTCGTTAATTTCATCCTATATAGACCACAGCTGCCATGTAAAGAAGTTTAAATCCGGCGTTGGATTTGTAGTTGAGAGAGAGACTCCGTCACCTAGTACTGTCGTTTATTAAAGTTTGTTAAATTTTTATAATTTTTGTAAGAAGTTTTAAATGTGGATTGATGTGATGCTGGTTCTGTAATGTGCTAGACTTTTATAAATGAAATTATAAACGTTAAATAAACAAAATAGAACTAACCAAAACTGGTCAAAACGTCACTAAACTTAATCAGCTGACCACAGGTGTATACATTATGACGAAGGTTTAATGTATCGAATTTTTTTTTTCAAATATTGGGTACCGACAATTCAGCACATCATTAATTGTTATTTTCATTTTCATCGAAAATTGAAATGCTACATGCTCTAAATACTGAATATCGATGGTCAAACATTGACAATTCAAAACTAAAAAAATTTCCAAAATTAAGTTCCGGAAAAATTGCCAGTTATGAGTTTTCAATGTTTGACAATCGATATGTATTATATTATAGCCATATCGGAGCGTAGATGCTTGCTTATCTAATTTTTAAGTCACAAAATGTATTTATTCGAGCAATAATAATTACGCGAGGAAATAATAGGACAATCGTAGCTAAATCGTTATTACCTAGTGGTGCAGAAAAAAATTAAAAAAAAACCAGCTTTTGTTTATATGTACATACATATGGCAGCAAATAAAACGAGCTAAACACACAAAAACAAAAACTTATAATTATGACAATCTCGGTGTAAGTGAACGATTTGTGTCTGCAAGAGCCACTCTATTTCTATCGCATAACTGCATATTGCACATATGTATGTATGTATGTACACATACATCCAATATGTACATTCTGCATGACCCCCTGGCGAGTTGCGACTGATCCTTAATTATGTTGGTATGTACAGATGCGATCAACTAATTGGGCTCGAAATTCAAAATGATAATGTTTGCAAATTATGTTTATTTATTTATTTTTAATAATTTTCATTTAAAATATTATTCATTCTATAACAGAAACCACAGTAATAAAAGTTTAAAAGCTTGCAAATCTTGCAAAAAAATTTGTCAAACTTCAAAAAATTTTCATCAAAACTTCAAAATTTGTAATTAGAATATTTAGAAAATTTTCGGGTATGTAATTTTGTAGCCCATTCAATTGTAGTATTAGAAAGTGCAAGTTTCACGTCGTTAAAAATTAACGTTGATTTTTTAGAATTTCTTTTGTGGAGGGTGTTGCTATATGGAAGAAAATGCGAATCACCCTCCACAAAAATAAATCTAAAAAATTAACGGTAATCTTTAACTTTCTTATACTACAATTGAATGGGATACAAAACTGCATACCCGAAAATTTTCTAAATATTCTAGTTAAAAATTTTGGAATTTTGATGAAAATATTTTGAAGTTTGATTATTTTTTTTTTGAATTTGTGTAAGCTTTTAAACTTTTATTATTGTGGTTTCTTTTATAGATTGAATTATATTTTAAATGAAAATTATTAAAAATAAATAAATAAACATTATTTGCAAACAATGTCGGTTTGAATTTCGTTGCTAATTAGTTGATCGTATCTGTATGTATGTACGTACATACATACATATGTATGTATGGATCAGTGTTGCCAAAACATTTTTTAATTTTTTACCAAAACTCAAACAAATTACCAAACTCTAAAAAAATTTCAAAGTTTTTATGACATAATAGTCTGATCACATTGAAAACGACAATGCTGTCAAATTATTTTTCCACGTATTCTTATGTAGACGATTATTTTGGCGACGACAGAGCTATACCACCAGCTTAGAGCTATTTACAGATAAAGTGCTTCCTCTTCTTTTATGACAAACTCATAAAAATTCATGATGTCGCTGTCGCGTTCATAAAAATCATATTACTATCGACAAAGAGTTTAGATAATGAAGATGAACAATTTACAGTTTTATGAGTTAGTCACATTCGTATATAATTGCAAAATTGTAATTAGTCCTGTAAAGATATTTTCTTTCACCATTGGTTCCAGCAGGTAAAAATTATCCAAAAACCTGATTTTTGGGACTGCAGGGGTTGTGATCGAGCCGCCATATTAGGAAAAATGGGTGGTTTCTTTAAATTGCTATATTACACACTCATACTAAAAGCTCTGTGTTTTCAAGGCAAATTGTTACGTGAAAGGACCCTTTCAATTTTTGGCACACACATTTACATATTCACATAAGCAAATTTTTTGTTTTATGTAATTGTAAGAAGGTTAAAAGTTCTTAATCTTTATAAGTAATAAATTAGTTTTACAAATTTAAAGAAAAGACTTACGTTGGAAAAATACCAAATTGAAAAAATAAATTGCCAAATTACCAAATTAATTTTTAAAAGAAAAAAATTACCAGTTTTGGTAAAAAATTACCAAAGCGGTAACGATGGCATGGATGTGTATGCATATTGCATACAGGTTCTTTGTTATACTTGCATTTAAATTTGAGCAACTGCTGGCACCTGATTTCAAACTTACTTTATATTTATTTTATTTTTTTCGTATTGTTTTGCATGCAACTTTTTAGCACTGCAACACCTGCATTTTAATAAAAAAAAATTGAAAACTATGTAGCTCATAAACACACATCATACATATATCTCTATAACATAAATGCAACACGCAGTAATTTTTTTTTGTAAAAAAAAATAATGCATTTCGGTATGTGTGTGTATGTATATACATATGTATGATTGTAAAGTAAGCCGCTTTAGTGCATTATAACGGGCAAAAAATTCTTCTGGTACACAACTAAATACTATGTATATGTATGTATGTATATTTGTACATAAGTTCGATTCGATTGTTCCACCCCGCTCCCTACATCAGACGGTGCCTTACCACCACGTCTTGGAGTGCGCGCATGTGTGTGAAATGGGCACAAAGGCAAAAGAGTCGGCATTGGAGTGCCGCCTTTGTGTGTTGGTATAATACACATCCATCTCTCAGCGGCATGGAGCTGGGCAGAGAATAGCAACACTGGAAATGTGTGCGCGCTTCCAGTCGCACCGACAGGCAATTCAACCGTACTCAACTCATCAACGCGCAGCCAGCAACAAAGAGTTTTGAGCGCGCAAGGAGTGAAACAACAAGGAACAGGGCAGGGCAACTGCCCTTTTTCCAGCGGAAGCAGTGTGTGAGACAAAATTCAATATGGCGAGTTTTGAATTTCAATTTTTTTTTTTGTTTTTTTTTTGTTCGGTTCTTCGTTTGTGCGGATATGACAAAGTGTATGCGGTGGCGGTAGTGTGGTGATACAGTATGTACACAGTGTACATATATACATGTATATGTATCTATGCTTGGATGTGTGTACATACATACATATTAAGTATGCCCGAGTATCGAATCCTGTATTTCAGTGTCTAGCCCCATATGTGGGTTTTTACATTTTTTAATGAGGATTTTGCTCCTACAAAGTTATACGTGTGTACATGCATATATGTACATATATACATATGTATGTATTTACATACATATATACATATGTATATGCATGGATTTAAATGTTTCTGTTTGTATCTATAATAGATATATCATGGATTTATTTTTCTTACCTCGTATTTGAGACCTGCCAGACGCAGCCAGGTTTCAACTTTTAGACAATATGGTGATAACGATGGCAGCAAAGGAGTGCGGGAAAACTGATACAGATATATTACATCCTTCTCAAAGTTCGTTTTATGCACATTGAACTTTGGTGCTGGTTCGGTTTTGCTGTTAGCTACTGTTGCAGTAGTAACATTGTCTCCATCTTTCTTTGTATCATCACCGGCCGACGCCTTTGTGTCGTCGCCTTTCTCCTGTGCGTTGTTCGCTGTATCGGCACCATTGCTTTCAGCGTTATTCTCCTTGGCTGCTACTGTTTCTGTAGCTGTTGTTTCTGGCTTGGTCACCGCCGCCTCTTCAGCAACCTTATTTTCGGTAACTGGTGTCTGACTTACCTCGGATGCCATTTTTTATCTATTATTTTTTTTTTTTTTTGTTTGTTTTATTTTTTTGATTTAATTTTTGTATAAAGGTGTTTTAGTAATATTAGTTTTTCTACTAAGTTTTTTTTGTGTAAATTTTTAATTTATTTTAAAAAATTCCAAAAAAATTTTAGTTTCACTTCAAGAAACNTATAAAGGTGTTTTAGTAATATTAGTTTTTCTACTAAGTTTTTTTTGTGTGAATTTTTAATTTATTTTAAAAAATTCCAAAAAAATTTTAGTTTCACTTCAAGAAATTCCCAATTTTTATCTGGGATAAGGAATGGCTTTCCACTTTTTCAACGAACGTTACAGCAAGCACTCTACTAAGTGTACACACAATGGAATAAACAAGTATATATATGCAGACAGCTAAAAAATCCTTATGTACTACTTCACTTAAAGCCACAAAATGTAAAATCGGCACGACCACACACACCTTCCCCGACGAAATCACAAACAAAACTGAAAGAGAAAAGAGAAACAACTTCAATAAACCACTCTGATCGACTTGACTCGAAGCTAAACCAGTATAAATACACTGTGCTGCGCTGTGTACTGTGTACACATACAGGGTTAACGTATCAAAAATTTTCCTACCTTCCATCCGCTTCCAGTGAAAATGGATACATAAAATGCAACCCAAAGTCAATGGATGCCTATTTCATTTCCCGTGGAAATGGAAGTTATGAGCAACTCTAAATACCCTACAAGAACAGTGACTATCATTTGACAAATTATTTGAGTGGCAAGACTGATAGAGATTTCTGTCACTGGCTACCTACAAGTTTCTATCAAATTCTAAAGGGCAGTGTGAAAAATCTGATGTAAGCATTTGTGTACAAATTCTTCCGTCTTCCTCCAACTTATGGCCTTATATTATGGTCTATTTTTAACCAACGCAAAATTTGCATATGTGTTAAGGGTACTCTACAAGAATTGTGTGATGGAAACTAACACATTCTCATTTATCTTACTAACAGATTTGCAAATTTGGTGTTGGTTAAAAAACAGACCCTTCAATACGGCCATAAGTTGGAGGAAGACGGAAGATCACATGTACACAAATGTTTACATCAGATTTTTCACACTGCCCTTTAGAATTTTATAGACTTGTAGGTAACCAGTGACAGAAATCTCTATCAGTCTTGCCACTCAAATGATTTGTCAAATGATAGTCACTGTTCTCGCAGGGTAACTTCCAAAATGCATACGACTAGCTACCCTGCAAACCAAAGTTCCCGAAATCTTAAGGAAATCGTTAGGAGTATCTCATTTCTGTAACGATTTTTTACGAATTTTCAAAGAAAATTATATGAAGTGGTGGACACGAACTCGTAAAGAAATCTCTGTACGAAAAATAAAGAAAATTCTGGAAAAATTCTGAAAAATATTCTGCACAGAGCACCATTATTTTCGTTGCTTCACAGAGCTTCTTCCGAAATTTCGTAAAAGAATGGAAGTGTGCGTAATTTATTTCATTTTAGAAAATTCGGCAAAAAATCGAGTTAAATCTTAACGAATTCTTTACAATTTCTTTACAATGCAGAATACTCTGAAAAAATGGTTTGCAGTGTATGTACTGCGGATAACTCAATATTGAAAATTTTTTCTAAAAGCACCCATTAAATTAACGTGTTAAAATGTGCTTCATACAACAATTTTATTACAATTTAAGCATCAACGTGTTCCCTATATATGTAAAAAAAGGTATTTAACTTACATCGTTTCCTTTACTGAGTATGTGTGAGTTGAAAATACTACCACATAGATATACAACTTTGAGAAACAATAAACAAACGTATATTTTTAGAATAACTTATATAACTGCATATTTACAAGCATTTTATATATATATTTTTTTGAATTGTTTTTTTTTTTTTTTTTTAATTTACTGTCCGGTTAGTATTTATTGACGTGATCCAAGTATTGCGATATTTATTGACGGTGTAGCATGCAGTATTGATGGATGATGATCCATATCGCAAAATTTCTAAAAATTTTGAAATCTAGATCGCGGATCGCAATACCGTCAATAAATATGTGTAGCACTTTCCAAACGCGATCCATACATTTCGTCAGTACATGTTTTACTCTCATAATGCGCTCTGCCTTCCTTCTCGGTGCTTAAAACCTTTCAAGTGAAATTGGAAAATTTTTAATTAACATTGGAAATTTCAAAATAATTGTGGAATGCATTATCTGTAAATTATACGTAGAAAATAAAAATATTTTCTTGCGTCATAATAAGCGTTCAGCACAAAAATTATGCGAATACTGACGCGATAAATGTGGAACATCTAGCATTCGTGCGCGATCCATCAATCCATCAATATGGATCGCGATCCAAATATCATGATAATTACTGACCGTGTGACAGAGCCCTTAGAGTGCAGATATCGTAGATGTTACCAAAGACAGGACTAAAGCCAGATATACAGTTCAATGCGAGCGTGAGCGTGAGCTTTTTATTTTGACCAATATCTTCGTTATTACTGAACTTTTAATAAGATTAGGAATTTTGTTTTAATATATCATATATAATATCGACAAATGTATTACTAAAACGAATTATTATGGCAAAAGATCTCTGCTCTGTTGAAATTTTGAGGGAAAACAATATTGCTTTTTTTTTATATATGTTTGGTTTTAGAAAAACGCAAAGAAATGGGCGACCCTTTTTGGCGACTTTAATGGTAGAACATTTTTTTTTTTCACAAACTTATGTTTTCTGGGCTACCGACGGGCGAAGCACGAATTTTCGAAAAACGGGCCCTATTCTGTGCGCTTATGCGCATGAGTGCAGAATAAGCTAGAAACAAAAAACGGAAAAGTGGGCGTGGTCCGTCGTTCTTTTCTGATTCTAATGGTATACAAATTTTTCAGTGCAAACTTATATTGTAGGTGCTATGGATGGTCAACGATGGAATTTTGGAAGAACTGACCTTGTTCTGCACTTGTTCCAAATAGGGTAGGAAACTGCAAACACTCTTACTTTATCACTCACTCACTTACTGCCGTCCCTAAATTGGAGCGCTAAGCGTTGCGTTATCCATTGTCAACGAGTGTCATCGCGCGCTATACCCAAATCAACGCGTCGTCAATTTTGATGTTTTCTCAGGTCCTCTCGTTTTTATTCTTATTTCCTCTTTCACTTTTTTGTCCTTTCTCTTTCTCTTCGTCTTCTGCATCCAACTTCAGCACGTAACGCCCTGTCAAAAATGAAAATTCCATTTGCTCGGCGTTAGCGCCGCGTTATTGTGGGATGGTTCATACAAATTGTATGGGCATGAGGATTTTTGACAGTTGCTTGGCGCTTGACGCGCCAATTTATGGATGGCAGTTAAGCGAAATATGAATTTTGGCATATGTCTACTGAGGCGAATCAACTCAGCTGTTCAGCAACACCATCTAATACCATGTTCTGACCGACATCGAAAACATGTTTTCTTTGCTAAAACTGGTTTTCGACCTAAAACTTGCGTTTTCGTCCACGTAAAATCTACCAGTTTTCGCTGAAAACTTCTTGGAAACTCACGCTCCATTCAGTCCAAACGGTGTCTTCACTAGTTTTTTTCAATTATTTATCGAAGTGGAAGTCATATTTGATCATCTTTAATACGCCATTTCGGATTTATTGTTTATTATTATTATTAGTATGTGATTATTGTTTGGCCTAAGTAAAATTACAATGAAAGGAAGAGGTTGTAGATGAAAAGAAATTGAAGGAAAAGTATTTTGGTTCTGTTTTTGTGTAGCAAATCTGTAATCAAAAGATGTAAGAAATGTCAACGAAAACGCTAACAGCCGGTGTGAACAGCCTTCAGCCCACAATCCCAAAACTCGTTTTCAAAGTGTTTTCGTTGTCGGTCAGAACATGGTATTATATGAATACGCCTTGACACAACATGAACCATTTAGAACAGATCTGACCGGTTGAGAAGCAGCCATTTGTAATAGTAATTGAGAAAAAAGTGTGTGACGTTCGTAATTTGGAAGGTGCTATTTTTGTTTTGCTTCTTTCTTTATGTGTATTTGTCGGTGGTTTATTTCAGCGACCTTTAAGCGATTTTCAATAAATTTTTTGTGCAAATGTAATTAAAATGAAATGCGCGGTGATTGGTTGCAAAAACACGTACAAAATAATAAATTGATTAGCACAAACATGTTCAGCAAAATTGCTTGCATTTTTTCCTTATGCTTCGTCTTCATATTCTTTGTTTACTTTTCAAAGAAAATAACATGGGGCCGAAATTACAAACGTCAGCCAGAAAAATTTTTTTTCTTTTGCTTCAACTTGTCAGATCTTGTGTAGTTGGATCATGTTGACCAAATATTGCAAAATTTTTACGATATAAAAAGGTTTAACAACTCTGTGCCCATATGTATTTCCTAAAAAGGAAATAGTGGCAACATTGGCAATTTGTTTTGTGTCAAATTGACGAAGTTCGTGCAACTTCGATTAATTCCTTTTATATAAAATTTAATATAGTACACTATTACGAAGTAATAAATGAAAGTGGAGCATTTAACCATAAAGAGTTGTGTTAATCAACGATGAACAATAGGCATTTTTGAAAAAATTACTGGATATGTTTTCTGTGTCGAGTTGAATCATCGGGGTTGGGCAGCCACTAACCCAACTGCTCCGTCTACGAGTATTTGTGTGGATATGAATGATATTGTATGTACCTAGGATTTAAAGCTGACAAGAATTTCCACAGAGTTTGTGTTTTGTGTCTGTATGACAGCAAAAAAGTAAAATTAATTTTTTATACCAAAAGTATAGTGCTGAGGTTAGCAAATGTGCATTCCTTCGTGATTATGGTCCAAGTGGTTTTTGACGAATTATCGCTATTTAGTGAATAAAAGGAAAGAAAAAAATTTCTCGACAGGACTACATCCTGTATTTTTAAGGGTGGGATACGACAATACTGCAAAAAGGTACAAAGTAAAATAAAAGCAAAAAATACATATATTGCAGAAATGTCTGCGAATTTGATGGAAAATTTAGCAGCACTTCCTGCTGATGTACGAGAAAAGTTGGCGGAGTTGGATTTGGAATTATCTGAAGGTTGGTTGTTGGTGTCATGATGATCGGAACATATGAAAATATATTTAGCTTTAGAAAATACCGTATTGTACCCGTAGTACGTATGTGCCTTACTAGGAGTAAAGTCAATTGTTCTTTTGTCTGATATGCGTTACATGTTAATCAAGTCTCCTTTGTATATCCATATGTACCTATATTGCCCTCAAGTATATATATCTGTATATGATACTAGTATATGCATAATGCTAGCACAATGTGATACAAGTAACTACATACATATGTATGTGCATGTGTACGTATGTATGTATGTTCATAAGCATTGTCGAGATTATGCCAGGCAATTGATTAATTTTTACTCCTTGATATTAGAACCGGCGTTAAGGCTTTTGTTACATATACGTTATATCTTTTGGTATACATATGTACATTATCTTTATAAGTTTTTACATACTTACTTTTTCAGGCGACATAACACAGAAGGGATACGAAAAGAAGAGAGCAAAATTGCTACAACCATTTTTAATACCGACCACCGAAGGTGAGACTATTTCCTAATAATGAACAGCAATAGCTTGAAGTATTGAAGTAATTAACAGAATTTTTTTTCTCTTTTTGTTGCTTTTGTTTTGCATATTTAAGTATGTATGAGTCACTGTATAATCTCTAATACCGTATTGAACACTTCTATTTATGTTTTTTTTTTTTTATAAGTACATATACATAAATAGTTTAATTAAATGTTACTTTAATGGTTGTTTACGCTTCAAACCGGTGTTTCAAATTACGATAGCAATCNATAGTTTAATTAAATGTTACTTTAATGGTTGTTTACGCTTCAAACCGGTGCTTCAAATTACGATAGCAATCAAAGATTGTTTGTTGTGTATTCTTAGCTTGCAACAGTTTTTAGCCCTATAGCAAATCCGCAACAGATTGATTTCAGCGTTCTAATTTTAGTAATAAAAGGCGATCGATCTTGACTGGATTCCATGGCAGTTTATTATAATTTGTGGCGAGTTAAAGCGCTGAATAAAAGTACATATTTTTAAGTAATTGTGTGTATTAATTTTACATGCGAGTGACTCACGACTTAGGTCAGGATTAGATCACCGTTAAATGACCAATCAACTATCTCGTTGGATAATATAAAAGACATGCTTATAGAGCACCTACCTACCAATAAATTAGATAAAATAATTCCAAAATAAGAAATAGCCATTATTTATCCGAAGTGAATGTTGAATAAGTCTATTTTTCTAATAGAATTAAAAAGAATATACAAAAGAAAACCCGCTTGAGTTATTCAAATCATACCAATTGCTATATTGTTCGCATTCTTACTCAATAGGCAATGACTCAAAATTGGACAAGTGCGATAAAGCCATTCCTCCTTATTATAATATTAAAACGCCACAACAACCGCAAAACCCAAAGACTGTGAAAGACGGAGCCTTAGTATCGAGTGAGGGATACAGTTACGTAACTGAAGTCCCATCACTGCCATCATCTCATCAAAGACATTCCAATGCATCAAAAAAATCAGATCATTCAGTGAGTGGTGGTGGTAGTGGTGGCGGTGGAGGTGGTGGTGGTGGCAGTGGAAGTGGTGGACATATAGAAAGATCCGAGTCAAGTCATCAACATAGCAGACAACGACGTACACAACGGAAAATTACACATAATGAAAAACGTTATCATTCCGGTAAGTATTTACATATTCTGCATTTGGTTAAATAGTATGGAAGCATGAAATAAAAGCTGATATACTTTTGATTAATAAAATATATATATATATATATATATGTATGTGTGTGTGTGTGTTTAGAAGTGCGACAAGAAGCTGTACAACAAGCGCTTGCAGCACTGAAAACTCGTCCGAAGCCCAGTTTACCAATGCCATCGAAGAGAAGTTCTGTGCTCAATCGAAGTCCGGATCGCAATAATGATGATATTGGTGAGCGGGTTTTTAAATGCCCGAGGAAATACAACATATACGAATTAATTTTATTAATTTTCTGTACACATTGTTGTTTAGATTCGTCGACAGATGAAGAATCCATTCCTGAGGAAACAATTTCTCCCGACAAGGAGTATAATTATCCACGTGATCATGTTAGTAATATTATGGAACCAATTATAAAACCACCCATACGTGATTCATCAATGGGTGGTGCGCAAATCAAACATAAATATCCGGAAAGGCGACCACCACAAAATTTGCCCCCACTGGTAAGAGTTTTTTGCACTTATATTTAATATACATTATATCATGAACCATGACACTATATAGGGATATGTAGGGATGGCAACAAATGAGTCGATTAATCGATTATAAATCATGACAAACCATCGAAAATCGGTTATATCTTTCATTTCATTTAATTTATTCAAACAGTCCAGGAATACAACAAAATATATCAAACTAGTAGTAAATATATAAAACTAGTAGTAAATATATAAAACTAGTATCTATTAGTTAAAAATATATTTTAAGACTAAATTTCTTAATATCACTCCTGGTAGTGAGAAATCAATATTTTATAAATACTTTCTGTATACGCTCGATCCTATTTATATGCGTTATTTGCAAAGGCCGCCAGATGAAAGATGCATATTCCAAACGGGACCTAACAAATGCAATATACAGTTTTTTGAGGGTGTAAGGGTCTGAAAAAACTGAACTATTACGACGAACAAATGCTAGCATCGCATAACCCTTTGCAACTAAAAAATTTATATGACTAGCGAACGTAAGCTTCGAGGCAAAGAAAATTCCTAAGTCTTTGATTTGATCCATAGACTTCAAATTAGAACCTGAAATATGTTAGGCCGTTGTTAAGCAATTGAGCTTTTTAGAAAAAGCTACATGAAAGCATTTGTCAATGTTCAAATAGACACGGCAGAGTAAATCTTTAGGTCGTCAGCATAAAGTAGAAACTTCGAATATAAAAGGCAAGAGCTTATATCATTTATAAAAATGGTAAACAAGAGCGGCCCAAGAATACTACCTTGCGGAACTCCTGACGTTGCAAGATATGGGCAAGAAGTATTGTTGTCAAGTACGACTGAATAACTCCTACCAGATAAGTAGGATTCTATCCATTTTAGAAAAGTAGCGTGAAATTCTAGAAAGTTTAATTTACTAAGCAAAATTTTGTGCGAAACCCTATGAAAAGCCTTGGCAAAGTCGGTGTAAATGCTATCTACTTGGAGCCCTGCTTCAAAACTTGCTAGGTAGTCATCAGAAAAAATGGTCAAATTAGATACTGTAGATCTCCCTTAAAAACCCATGTTGATTCGGGATGACTAGAAACTGAAAAAAACATTTTTTCTTTAATTATGCACTCAAATACCTTAGCAATTGTCGTCAATTTCGTAATGGGCCTGTAATTTGTAACGTCATTCTTGTTACCACTTTTGCAGATTGGCGTAACATATGATTCTTTCCAGTCTTGTAAGAATATATCTGACAATAAGTTCAAATTTTCACTTTCCTTTATTTCTATAATCAATTACCATTTTTACGATTAAGTTAAGAAAAACATAGGAAATACGTTCTTTTTGTAACAAAGGTTTAATACTGGATTTTTAATTTTTGGCTTTTTTAATGGCTTTTTTGTAATTTTTTTTTAATCAAAAATAAGCGTTTCTTTACATTTTTATGACCGAATAACAATAATAATGNCTGGATTTTTAATTTTTGGCTTTTTTAATGGCTTTTTTGTAATTTTTTTTAATCAAAAATAAGCGTTTCTTTACATTTTTATGACCGAATAACAATAATAATAATTAATTTTATATATTTACATTAGGGAGGTTTCGAATGTAATTTTTTTCACGAATCCTCGCAGATTCGGAATGCGAATGTTAAGAATAACATTAAAAAAGCTATAATCAACTTAAGACATCGGTTTTATTACTTAAAAATTTTCTAAATTATTAGAACATTGAACGAGTGCTCAACCTATACAGTGTTTTAATCTAGTAGTGAAAAGTTTTTGAGACTTAAATAATTGAAATATGTTTTCACAGCCAACTTCGGATACATCCAGCACAGAATCGCCTCCAACGGCATATATGAAAGAGAATACTGATTTCACTGACAGCAAAGACAAGCACAAACCATGTAAGTTAACGATTTCAAGTAAACATTTGTAATTTAGAGTTTTTAATCGCGTTTTATGTACTTACCTCAGATGCTGCACCTGATATCACGCAATTTAATAATACTCGTCACGCTGCCGATCGTGTGACGCGCTATGTAAATGTCTCACAAACCGATCTAGGTGAATCTGATACGAATGGACGTTGGAAAGTTTCAGCTAAAATTCAACAATTGTTGAATACACTTAAACGCCCCAAACGTCGGCCATTGCCTGAATTTTATGAAGACAACGATATTGAACTCGAAATTGCAGCAAATCCCAAAGACCCAAATGCACCAAAACCAGAGGGTAGTATTATGACTGCAGTGCAAGGCGAACAATTGGCAGTGCCAGCGGGCTTGCCACGTTCATTGGAGGCAGCACTGCAACGTTATGGCGCTAATTCTTTTAAATCGCCAATGGCGACAGTACTCGATCCGAATGGCAAAATCACAACAACAATAACTTACGGCAAATGTTTGTCGCGCGCACAAAAAATCGCCTATGCACTCTCAACGAAAATCTTTAGCAAGGGTCCAGAGCAAATTACACTCAAACCAGGCGATCGTGTTGCATTGGTTTACCCCAACAACGACCCTTTGAGGTTAAACATTTCATTTGATTTTTATTTGAAATTTTATTAAAATTTATTTATTTGTATATTATACGTTTCGTATTTGCAGTTTCATTACTGCTTGGTATGGTTGCATGTTTCGTGGTCTCGTACCGCTGCCAATTGAGTTGCCCCTCTCTAGCTCTGACACACCGCCACAACAGGTCGGCTTTCTCCTCAGCTCATGTGGCATCACAGTTGCTTTAACCTCTGAAGCATGCCTAAAAGGTTTGCCAAAATCTGCCACTGGCGAAATTGCTAAATTGAAGGGCTGGCCACGCCTGCAATGGTTTGTAACTGAACATCTGCCAAAGCCGCCGAAAGATTTCAATGTTGGCAATATACGTATCGAGGACACGGCTACGGCATACATAGAGTATACAACCGATAAAGAGGGCAGTGTAATGGGTGAGTGGAGAGCATATTATATAGATTTTGTCGTCATAATTTACAAAATCACTGACTGGTATTAAGATATTTCATAGTGAAAACTCATCATAGTAAAATGAGAAACATCACTTTCAAACCTTTTATAGGAAGTTCTATATATCGATAATTAAATTAAGAATAAAAAACTAAAATTTTAGTTAACTAATATTTGGAGTCGTAACCCAGATAATCTTTCTTTTTATTTTTTATGACAAAAATAGAAAGCGAAATTTGCTTCAAGATTTTTAAGCAGAAAATGGTCGATAATTTATATTTATATTTAGTGTTCAGTTAAAAGTTTATAATTAGTGGTTATGTTCCAAATACAGAAAGATCTGAATTACACGAGAACTCCCGAAAAAAAAAATCCCAAAATGTATCGAAAAACAAAGTTCTTCAAAAAAAAAGATATCTTCAAAATCCCAAAATAATTTTTTGTATCTTAATCACTATATTCTCGTTCGTGCATTCTCGAACACAAAACGAAGAGTCCCAATCTCGGAAAAAAATTTAGAATGAAACACGAAAAGTCCCAAAAAATCTCGAAAGCTTTCAGGGAAAAAACGAAGGTCCAAAAAAAAATCCCCAGAATATAAAAAAATATCGAGAAAACCTCAAAATTAAACAAATAATTACTTTTTTGTGTTTCAATCGTGTTGAATTTCTATTATTCGATCAAATTTTTTTATTCACTTTTTTTTTATTTTTATAATTTCGATCACAAATAATCGAATAATCGAGGTTTCTTAGTAAAAAAAATCGTTTTTCTTGGAAGTCGATTTTGGATTTATTTCCAGAATCCAAGTTTTTTTATCACATTTGGTCGGTTTTTTATTATTTTGTAATCAATTTGATTTTGGAAACGAATTGTTCGATAAATTTCAATCGTTAAACTATAATCTTTAGCTGTTTTCTCAATAAAATCTTAGTTGTTTCGATCGTAAATAATCGTTTTTCTCGGGCTGAAATTATTTTTAAACATTATTTATTTTTTTTTTATTTTAAAGAACATATGCATCTTTTCTTGGATTATTACTTTATCGACTATTTTTTATCGATATTTTAAGTTTTTTTTTTAATTAAAAATGATGAATAGAGACTTGAAACTTCACAGTTGGCACAGTACCCGATGACAATGCAATACGGAAGATGAGTTAATCCGATAGGTGGCGCAGTAGGCGAGAAATTAAAAAAAAAAACCGTATTTATAGTCCGATTTGGTTCATATTTAAAAAGCTTGCTTTAAAAATATTTGTTTTTACTATTAACGTAGTTATTTCATATCACATTTAATCGATATTTTATAATTTTTGTTTTATGAGTTTTTTTCTTAATTACAAATATTTTTCTTTTTTATTTTTGAATTGAATTTTTTAATCATACCTAACCGATGTCGCGAATTCGAGTAGCAAAATAACATGTACCATTAACAAATGTACTTCCTTTTCTTTTTAAGGCGTTACCGTCACTCGTTTGGCCATGATGAATCACTGTCGCGCCCTCACCATGGCTTGTCACTACACCGAAGGTGAAACAATTGTTTGTGTGTTGGATTTTAAGCGTGAAGTTGGCTTATGGCACGCTGTACTCACATCAGTATTGAATGGAATGCATGTATTATTCATACCCTACGCATTGATGAAGTTACGTCCATCGTCGTGGATGCAACTTATCACCAAACATCGCGCCTCCTGTTGTCTAGTGAAGAGTCGTGACTTACATTGGGGTCTATTGGCTACAAAAGATCACAAAGACATCTCATTGTCATCGTTGCGTATGTTACTCGTCGCCGATGGTGCTAATCCTTGGTCACTATCGTCGTGCGACCAATTCTTAAGTGTTTTCCAATCGAAGGGTTTGCGTTCGGACGCTATATGTCCATGTGCCAGCAGTTCAGAAGTTTTTACAGTGTCGCTGCGTCGTCCGGGTCGCTCTTCCACAGGCTTCAGTCAATCGGCCACTGGACGTGGGGTGCTGTCGATGGCCGCCCTGTCACATGGTGTAGTGCGTGTGGATAGTGAAGATTCGCTGACATCGTTAACGCTGCAGGATTGCGGTCAAGTTATGCCAGCCGCACAAATGGTCGTGGTGCGCTCAGAGGGTTTGCCGGTTTTGTGTAAAACCGATCAAGTTGGTGAAATTTGTGTGACTAGCGGTTCGACGGGTGCCACATACTTCGGCTTAGATGGGCTCACCAATGCGACATTTAAGGTGCAACCATTACTGGAGGATCCCGATACTACAAAAGATGAATCCACATTCAAACCAATCAGTGATGAGTATTATGTGCGTTCGGGTCTATTAGGTTTTTTGGGTCCCGGTGGTTTGGTGTTCGTTTGCGGTTCCCGCGATGGTCTAATGACTGTAACTGGGCGAAAACATAATGCGGACGATATAATTGCAACAGTGCTTGCTGTGGAACCGATGCGTTTCATATATCGCGGGCGCATAGCCGTTTTCAGTATTAAAGTATTACGTGATGAACGTGTTTGTGTAATAGCCGAACAGCGACCGGACTGCTCCGAAGAGGAGAGTTTCCAATGGATGTCACGTGTGTTGCAAGCCGTTGATTCAATACATCAGGTGGGCATTTATTGTTTGGCGCTTGTGCCTCCGAATCATTTGCCGAAAACACCATTGGGTGGCATACATCTGTGTGAGGCGCGACGCCGCTTCTTAGAGGGTTCACTGCATCCAGCCAATGTGTTAATGTGTCCACACACGTGCGTAACTAATCTGCCAAAGCCGCGGGAAATTCATCAAGGTGAGTGTTTGTTTTTGGTTTTTTTTTGGCTTTGCTTTGGTGAAAGGGCGAAAAGAGAAGGAGGGGAAAAGAAAGTGATCATACATACATATTTACAAAATATATTGCCTACAAAACACTTACGCAAACAAAATGTACCAAACATACTAAAAACTAAACCTCGAATTGCGATGTGCCCGAAGTATTGTATACATAATTCCTATCAGAGCTGGCAAGTTATAAATTTTGTTCACTCTATTTACTTAATACCAAATAATAATAATAGATTGGCGCTTCCACATATGTTCGTGTTTGGCCGAGCTTCTCCTCCAATTTGTGGCATGCGACTTGATGTGTCACACAAAGGCGAGGGACCTACAGCTTTACACCGACCCCGAATAGCGATTATATTTTTTTGAGAAGCTATTTTTCATGGCAGAAATACACTCGCGGAGGTCCTCAACCTGTCAATGGCCACTCTCATCATCCCAGACATCTGGAAGGTGGGGAGAGTGGTCCCTCTGCTCAAACCGGGGAAACCCGCCAACAAAGGAGATTCGTATCGACCGATTACACTCCTTTCCCCGGTAGCGAAGACACTTGAGGCCTTGCTACTCCCGTACTTCACAAACCACCTGACTCCAGCGAAGCATCAGCATGGTTTCCGTAAAGTGCACAGTACAACAACAGCACTTAACGCCATAAACACTCAGATAACTCGTGGCCTTAACCGCAACCGTCCCTGTGAGAGAACGATTCTAGTAGCGTTGGACTTGTCAAAGGCGTTTGACACCGTCTGCCATTCCACGCTGCTAGAAGATATAGAGGCCTCCTCTCTCCCACAGAGGCTCAAACGGTGGTCGGCAAATTATCTGAGTGGTCGACATTCGTCGGTAACATTTAGAGACAAAACGAGTAAGCAGCGAAAAATAAAACAGGGGGTTCCTCAGGGTGGTGTCCTTTCCCCGCTACTGTTTAACTTTTATATTTCAAAGCTCCCTCAACCACCAGAGGGAGTCTCGATTGTCTCCTATGCCGACGACTGCTCGATCATGGCGACTGGGAATGGAATTGATGACCTGTGTTTGAAAGTAAACGGCTATCTCTCCGAACTTTCTCGCTTCTTCACTGCAAAGTGTCTAGCCCTCTCCCCTACGAAATCCTCCGCGACCCTGTTCACAACCTGGACGAAGGAGGTCAGGCTACCGCTGGGGATTCACGTCGATGACACACCAATTCCGACGGTGAATAACCCCAAAATACTCGGAGTAACATTCGACAGCCTGCTCTCCTTCTCTGCGCACTCAACCGCTATTGTCAATAAAGTACAGAGCCGCAACAAGGTCCTCAAGTCGCTAGCCGGCAGTACTTGGGGCAAAGACAAAGAAACGTTGCTGGCAACATACAAGGCAATAGGCCGGCCGGTTTTAAACTACGCAGCGCCAGTGTGGTCGCCAGGGACTAGTAGGACGCAGTGGACGAAGCTACAGACGGTACAAAATACGGCACTTAGGACAGCGACGGGATGCCTCCTGATGTCGCCTGAACACCACTTGCACGGCGAGGCGCAAATGCTCCCAGTTAAGGAGCATAATATAATGCTCTGCAAGCAGTTCCTGATCGGGAGCCACAGAAGTGGCCACCCAAGCAGACAGCTGCTTGCAGAGGAGCCCTCGCCTAGGCACGTCAGGAGGCATCTATATGAACTGACGGACGAAGTCCAGAGGTTCATTAAGCAACCTCTGGACCCGTCAGCGTACAGACAGGCCCTGAACGGCATTCACAGGGACTCAGTCTCGAGTTATGTAGACTCTAGACCTGTGAATGCCGTTCTAGGCACACCACCCCCGGACATAGACGAGACGGAGCTTCATCTGCCTCGGGAGACACGCACAACACTCGCACAACTTCGCTCCGGCTACTGCAGCAGGTTAAACTCCTACTTGAGTAGGCTGAATGAGGATGTGCCGAACGAATGTCCGGCATGCGGAGAGACCCCACATGACTCGAACCATCTCTTCGCATGCCCGGACAACCCGACAACCCTGACGGCCCTGTCCCTGTGGACAAATCCCACATTAGCTGCACGCTTCCTAGGGTTGCCGTTAGTGGAACTTGACGACAACGACTGAGATACCAACCGATCTGGGCGGGGTTGTTGTAGCCGCTACAACAACAACAACAACAACTCGCAGGTTTGCCATTGCCGAGGAGCGACCACTGTTAAGAAACAACTTTTTTTTAGAACTTTTTGCGATGTTACTTTGACCTGGTATTGCGGAGCGGAAACGCGCACTGCTTTCCACTACACCAAAGCGGCCATTTACTTAGACCTGAAAATTATAACATTTGCTATTAAAAAAAATATATAATATATTTCTGATTATTTTTTTTAAGTTTAATGGTGATTTCGTTTCGACCAAAAGATTTCGCCTTTAGACTGCCCTTTCTCTTTTCGTGTGCGATTCTAAATTAAAAGCAAAGGTCGAGAAAATTTGGTGTTCGTTTCTTAAAATGCCACACTCTTGTAAGACAAAAGAGGCACATTCTTTGCCCTTTGAAGCTTTGTCAGAGGAGATGGTTGCCCTGAATATCAGATGGTTATTTAAAACGACAATATTATAAAGTACATGAACTAGACAAGGACAACAAGGCAGACACACGCCTTTTTACAGGATTGAGTGTAGCATAAAACATATTTTGCACCGTCTTTACGTCCGTGGGTAGCTGCTCTTTAATGCTTTAAAGAATTACCTAACAAAAAACGCAACATTTCCACGGGCTTATACAATTGTCTTGCGAGTAGTAATCTTTTTTATGTCGACAAGTTCGTAAAGGAGTCAATTTGTAAAGTAGTTCTTAATGCCACATTTCTAAATTTTTTCCTTTGGGCACAAGTAATTCGCTGTCAAACATCGTCATTTACATAGAACATGCTATCTTTGGTGCAAGTTAACCCTTCCTCACAACACAATGCATTGCATATTTGAAAACATATGTATGTATTAAAAAAATATAAACTTTTTGTAGAGACGAATTGGTACATTAAAAAAGAAGATATTGGAAAAAATTTATTTTAAGTTTAATATCAGAAAACTGTGATTGGATGCATTTTTTCGAACTCGAAGAACGGAAAATTTTCAAATTCAAAAATTTGTATTGCAGATTTTTTCGAATTTCNGAAAACTGTGATTGGATGCATTTTTTCGAACTCGAAGAACGGAAAATTTTGAAATTCAAAAATTTGTATTGCAGATTTTTTCGAATTTCCCAATGCTTTTTCAGTTTAAGGGAATACCCCTAATGCTTTAGTAAATCTAAAACTTCTCATTTGAGTCATTGAAAACAGTTTCATAAAATTTCCAATATTTGTTTTTCTTTTCCAATATTTTGAACAAAACGTTTTGCTTTCGACAGAAAAGGGTTATTGGATAAAATTAATTTTTAAGTTTCATATCAGTAAATTGAGTGAAATCTGAAAACTTCGAAATTCAAAGTTTTTTAATACAAATTTTTACGAGATTTTCGAATTTTTTTAAGGGTTTTTAGTGTAAGTGAATACCCCCAATTCGTTAGTAAATTTGAAATTGCTCAGTTGAGTCGTTTCGGCGATTTCCCGAAAATTGGAAAAGGACAAGTGCAAATTTTCGAGACTATCTGAACTGTCAAATATATTTTTTATTTAAACTTTCGAGTTTTTCACTGTTTTGAGTTTAAGGGAGTCCCAAAAGGGAGTTCATAAAAATTCCGAATCTTCCGATTATGTATGTTTGTAATGTACACTTCTACTTATTTCTTCCAATATATTTTTCGCATTCATTTTATGACTTGATTGCTTCATTTAAGTAAGGAATAATTCATTGTATTTCATACAAAATATGTGTGGATTTTCATCGGTTCATTGTCATATTCGAAATCATTTCGTTAATTTTATTACTCTGTTTTAGGACTGTGCGATTATTCGATTACTCTAGCAAGTTGGGGTTGTTCGGTTATTCAATTACTTGATTAATCAAAAGATGATTACTCGAGTTACCTTAAATATATGTAATTACTCAAAAAATTAATTTTGCTCGTTAAAATAGTATACTTTGGAAAATGTTTAACTCCTTTTTTACAATGTGTAATGAAAAAAATATTTTTATTTGAAAAAAATCAATGCTCTTCTATTGCTTTATATGTACAGAGTACTTTGAATATTTGATTACTCATTTTACTCATAATGTTGATTAATCATAAAGCAATCTACTCAAATATTATAGTTTTTGGTTAATCAAAATCTTGATTACTCGAGTTACTGAACTTTTGAGTTATCATAATTTCCAATTAAACGAATAACTGAGTTATTCACTTAATGATTAATTAAAATTTTGAATAATCAATTAATCGCACAGCCCTACTCTGTATATTAAACAACATCAAAAAAAATAAAATGAATAAATAATTGTCTTCAAATGCTTTTATTATATAAAAATTGTAATTATTTTTCTTTTCTTCATTATGCTGCCTCTTTTCGAAACCATTACTTTGATGCAACCATAATCAACAACATTGTACACACTTGAAACATAACAAACAAACAACCACCAAGTACACTTCTACTACTACTACTACTACTACCACCACCACTACCACTACTATTGCTACCATTATAATTAACACCTACAATACCTGCATATCTTATAAAATAAAAAATAATAAATATCATATAATGACACACTCAACTTATTTAACGTATTCGTAATGAATTGGTTGAATTGAATGAAATTGTTGCAATTTAAATCCAAAAAAAAATCATACAAAAATGTACTAACATCACAATAAAAAAGGTGTGCAAACTGCAACTGCAAAAATAAGCTCATCTGGATGTGGTATTACAGACACGTCTGTTGGACCAGCCTCAGTGATGGTTGGAAATTTAGTGCAGGGCAACCGTTTAGCCATCGCACAAGGTCGGGACATTGGCTTATCGGAGGAGAATGAACGAAAGGTAAGTTTTTAAAAATAAAGCAAATCAATTACGATTGAAACAAGTTAAAAAATATTAGGGGTCTTCACAAAAAAAATTTATGGTGACAAAAAATTAGACGCATTTCACGTACTCATATGAGTTATACTTTTCGGCAGTGGGCGGATTTAAAACTGAATAAATATCGAACAGCTGATAGCAGTTTACCCAACCACCAACCAAAAAAAAAAATATCAAGCTCGCTATCACAATAATGCGATAATCGGTTTACCGAAGGTAAAATAATTTTACACAAACAACATACTAGGGGAAAAACTACTGAGAAACGGGTAACGAAGTATCAAGTTCGGCGTGAAGACCTCTATTGATGATAATACCTTATAAAAATAATACAATACCTTATAAATACAAAATTTATAAATTTTTTCAGCATCAATTAATAACTGGTGTGCTACGCTGGCGTGCAAATACCTCACCGGACCATATCATTTTTACGCTATTGAATTCGAAAGGTAAGATTTAATGAGAAATATCACTTTTTTAGTAATTTTAAAAGGAATATGAAACACTTTAGCTTGAAAAAAGCTTAGCGCAAAGGTGACTTGGTTTTATAACACAACAGAGTAAATACATACTACATAAGTTCATAATAATTGCGATTTGTAGGGTCAGTGAAACCGAATCCGTAGCCGGTTTCACTCAATCAGTTCATGATTTCGACATAACCTCAAATAGTTTTTATAGCCACAGCCGTTTCTGTACCTAACTAAGCTCTAATAAATCGGCCTTTGCCCAAAAAATTATTTTTTTCTGAATTAAAGTCACTTCTGGCGTACGCTTTGTGCCATTACGGTAAGTCGAAAATCTGACTAGACGGCATTAAATAGACTACGGTTATACTATGTTCTGACCGACAACGAAAACGCTTTGAAAACCAGTTTTGGGATTGTGGGCTGAGGGCTTTCACACCGACTATTAGTGTTTTCGTTGGCATTTCTTACATCTTTTGATTACAGTTTTGCTACACAAAAACAAAACCAAAATACTTTTCCTTCATTTTATTTTCATTTACAACCTTTTACTTTCATTCTTATTTTATTTTGACCAGTCAATAACAATAAATCCGAAATGGCATATTAAAGATGATAAAATATGACTTCCAATTCGATAAATAATCGAAAAAAACGAATGAAGACCCCGATTGGAATGAGTGGAACCTGAGTTTTCAAGTAGTTTTCAGCGAAAACTGGTTTTCGTTTGACAAATTTTACATGGACGAAAACACAAGTTTTTGATTGAAAATCAGTTTTGGCAACGAAAACTTGTTTTCGATGTCGGTCAGAACATGGTATTAGGGTTTCAGCGGAGTATTTGTCAGCTCGCCCTTAATCTTGTATTTTTATTTAAATTGGTTTGAATTTATACATACTTTTTAATTTGAACAAAAAATTTTCTTCCTTTTTAAGGTGCTATCGCAAAGACTTTGACATGCTCAGAATTGCACAAACGAGCTGAGAAAATAGCAGCACTTTTACAGGAACGAGGACGTATTGAACCGGGTGATCATGTTGGTAAGTAGAAAATAAAACTTTTGGAAATGAGCTTTAAAAGCTAACTGTGTTGTTAAAATTTGTACAAAAAAAAATTGACACTTGAGCACTGAAATCAGTTTCTGATTTCAAAGCTCAGGAAGTCTTTTTAGTATTAAGCTCTGATTTTTAAGGCATATGTATCCAATCACTTTTTTATTTAAAACCGGCTGTAGAGAGATAAAGCGATTTTCAGCAATAAAAGGCTAGGAAGCAAGCTTTCAAAATCAGCGCACCTATTAAGCTAAATTTTATACATACATTTAAAAACAATTTTAAGATGTCCTTAGAGTGGTTCAATTTTTGTATGGAGAAAAAAATATAATCCTAGAAAAGGGGGCACCCCTTTTTTCCTTTTAATATTTGTAATATCTATACTAACTTTCAATTTTCTACTATAACCAATGCAGGTACTCAATGACCTTGAAATACGTTACTGGATCGCTGTGAAACTGGCCAAAATATTGCCGATTTTTATAAAAGGCTACTGTTGCCATATGACAACTGAAGCTTGTGCATTTTTTTTAGATAATTTAAATTGGAAATGTTCTTAGGTTGCTTAACCAATTGTTTGATTAATATGAGCGTCATGCGCATCCTCTAGTTTTAAACTTAGAAACGTAAAGTTTGATCTAGCAAGAGGAAAAATTTTGGAAGGTGCCCCAAACCTTATCGGAAGTTTAAAGTACAAAACCTCATATCAATAAAATGTAAAACCGTGAGGTAGCATAAATTATTTTCTACACCTTTTTCAGTTTTAGTTCAGAAAGTTGCAATTCATATTTAGAAATTGCATTTCAAATTCAGATAGTTACAATTCAAATTCAGAATTTTCATTTCAAATTCAGAAAGTTACAATTCAGATTCCGAATTTCCATTTTAAATTCAGAAAGTTGCAATTCGAAATTCAGAATTCACATTTTAAATTCAGAAAGTTGCCGTTCGAATTCAGAATTCACATTTTAAATTCAGAAAGTTGCAATTCAAATACAGAAGGTTACATTTCAAATTCAGAAGGTTACATTTCAAATTCAGAAGGTTACAATTCAGGCTCAGAAAATGTTCATTTCAAATTCAGAAATTTCCAATTTAAGTTCAGAAAATTGTATATTCACTGTTCGATTTCAAGATTTTAAGTTGTATCTTCGTTTGCGAAAAAACTGAAAAAGGTATAATGGATAAGGCTTGAGCCAAGAGCTTGTGTGAGCAAATCAAATTTTTGGCAGCCAATGTCAGTTGCGCGGTTTTGCAGAATGACTATATGCAGTTTGGTACTTTCTACCTCAGAAAGTTTTTTTAAAAGCAAATGCATTTTGTATCGAAAAATTTTGTTTTCCATATTATTGAAATGCTTTTTGGTTATTTACAAATAATTTTACTGAAAATGTACATTCGCATAAGAAGAAAAAATATTAAATGAATTGAGTGGGAAGTGAGTTTAAGAATTAGAAATTTCCTCAAGATAACGATAAATACAAATGCATATACATTGTAGAGACGTACATATACTGGCGGAATATTTGTGTTTTTTTTTCGTATATGTAACAAAGCGAGACAGTCTAGTACCGTTTTTGTGAATGTATTGTGTACGTGATTGCCGTTTTTGTGTATGTGTTGTGCAAATGTATATTTAAAAACGTATGTGTTCCTTGTCTTTCGTACGTGTTTATTGATATATCTGAGGGCCAATTCTTGTTCTGTGAAGACGTGAAGAGAAAACATTTGGCATCACTTCACATAAATTCTGCTTTCAAACGAAAATACATTGATTTGTCAAAAAATTTTCACTGTGAAAACTTATTTTCAAAAGGTTTTGTTGCTGTGAAAAAGAAAAGTTGGGAATTTTTCTCAAATCCATGATCTTGAGATAAAGAATATCATTGTCTTAAACTCAGAATAATTTACCAAATAATGATCGAGAATCGCTTGAAATGGTATAATGAAATGATAAAGTGAAAAAAAAATAATTTTCACTGACATTCAATTTTACATTTTCACTTCACCATTTCTTTGAACGCCAATTGGCCCCCTGTACTGTAATGTTTTCCGACGACACTAGCTCTTACTGCCAATATAGGAGTATTACTAATGTGACCAACTATTTCAATGCTCAAAGAAGTACAGAAACTGAAAACCAACAAGTAAGAAAGTCTAAGTTCGGGCGGAGCCGAACATTAAATACCCGGCGCAAGTATTAAATATATGTTTTTTCACCCTTCCGAAACCTTCCGCTAGATGGTAAGCCGGGGTGTATCAATTTTGAGTAAATTAGCGTCCTTCAATTT